CTATAGAGAAGTGAGTACATGAAAATAGTTGTTTTCAAGTTAAATATGTCTTTCTGGCCTRAGGAATAATTAAAAACAACATCATGGTTGGCATCTAGTGACTATCATGATAAGGAATTATTATTTGAAAGAATATCATGTCAGACATTCGAGGCTTTTTATGTTTGTCTGTATGCTAGGAATGATCCTTCACCAAAAGAACTACATGTGCTGTACTAGTCTATTGTCTCGCTATATGTTACAGTTCCTTCTCATTATTGTGTTAATTTATAATGAAAACTAATTAATGTACCTAAGAGAATCCTCCAGCACTTTAAAAAGAAAAGGAAAACATAAAGGAAAGCAAAACACTTTTGTTTTTAAATCGTGTTATCTTGAAGCCAGCTTGACTGCATAGATGACAAACTGTCTCCAAGACAAAAGATTTAGCCATCAGTCTCGGAGATCATTTTACCGGCARTGGAATAAATATTGAATCATGTTATCAATCTTGATTAGGCCCTCTTCTTGTTGTGATCAAACTACTATTTAATAAAGGGATTTGTTATTTTAGGGATGGCTTAATTTGTTTTCTCTTGCTAGGGGATGCAGTAGACTAAGAATAATAATAATGAAAATTTGAATTTTTTTTTGTAAATTAAAGTTTCCTTTTGTTTTCTATTGTTCAATTAAAACTTTTTTTTAAGTATCAATTGATTATATTGTTAGTTCACTGATGTTTGGCCTCTGCAATTTGAAGGTAGATGAGTTAATATAAAAAAAGTGAAGCGGCTGTGCATGCCTCTGTTTGATTTAAGTTTACATACATGTAGTCAGGTGGGAGATGGAAAGCAAGAGAAGCAGGCCTAGCCTTTCTCTTAAATCTTCTAGAATGATCTGATCTCTCAATGAGTTATCATAACCAGCGATAACCAGCTGTTTTGTATATTAATTTTGTATGATAATGGATGGAAACGTTCCTGTCTTTTTTTTTCATTTATTTATTCATGAATTCATAATTGACAGTCCATAATTTACAGATARGGAAGGTAACACTRGGACCCTCTAGACCTTTTGTTTTTACATTTATTATTAAAAGTAGAGAATAGTCACTAACATTAGAAATATTAATTTTTTTAATGTGTGTTTAAAAATATTTTCTTGAATTCAGATTGTATACCCAAAGAGTGATGATCAGAGACAAAGATTAAATGATGCTGTGAAAAATATACTTCTCTTCAAAAACCTGGCTTTAGTAAGTTTTCAATGTAAATAAGGTCAACATGTAGAGAAGGCATACATGTATCTGTRTGCTGCTTCTATTCTTCTTGTTCTTTGACATCCACTTTTGCTTCATTCTGTTTAAAGTTCCAGTTGCATTAAAAGCCCTAATTTCAAAACATCCTGACATAATTCAAAGATAATTACATCTCATTTATACCTAACATTAAACCTTTTTAGAGAAGAGTTTGTTATGGAGTCATCACAAGGAGAAAGAGCAAAATGATGGAGTAAATGACATTATGGCACTCCAACAATTTTTTAGCCAAAAAGACTAAGAAACTGTATCAATATCTTATCAAAATATGTGGTTTCGTGGTTATAGGACCCTTATTAATAAGTCCACAAGAATTCCATGCCTTTTCTAATGTTTTGCTATTTTTCATCCTTAGGCTAGTACTAGTCCTTTTTTGATATTAATTGAATTTTGCTTATAATCTACTCTAGAGTCAACTCAATGAAGTTTTAGATGCAATGTTTGAAAGGAAAACACAACCTGGTGACCATGTGATAGATCAAGGAGATGATGGAGATAATTTCTATGTTATAGACAAGTATGCTTGAAGTTCATTTTAATGTTCTATTTGATTATGTTGCACAAATCAAAACAATCTGGTCTCTCTGTTGCAAAATCCTGGTTTAAGCTAGTTTGTTTGCTGTGGCAATGAAAATACCAGAGAATACTAGTAATATATGTTGTATGAACAAATTGTCTGATAACACAACATTATTGATATGATGATATTTCATTTGTTTGTAGAGGAAATTTTGACATATTTGTAAAAGTAGATGGTGAAGACAAACTGGTAGGTTCTTTAGATTTCCACGCATGGAACGCATGGGTGTTTTATTTTTGGTGAAACATATTTACTTCGAGATTGCAAACGATTCGAGTGCTATAAAAGATATAATTAGTGTTTGATTTTGCCATAAAAGGTAAAAATAGCACACCTTATTCTTTCAGAGCAATTTTTTTTACTAATGTAATCTAAAAAGTGCGAAAATCCATGAAAAGTGCRAAAAATTGAAAATAGTGCGATTTGGTGTGATTTGACTGGTAAATAGTGCAGGATCGCACCATCGCCCTCTACCAGATTCACTGAATGGTCAGGTCAGTGAATAAACTACCTTTTGATGATTTATTGCCTATTTTTACACTATAGGTTGGTGCTTATACTAATAAAGGCAGTTTTGGAGAACTTGCATTGATGTATAACACGCCAAGGTCAGTTCTCAATTACTTTACACAGCATGTGTGTTATAAGACTGAAAAGAGTATATGGAAATTTGAGACCTACACTTAACAAGCATATTTTATTTCATTTGCAGGGCTGCAACTATAGTTGCAACTACTGAAGGTATCCTCTGGGCTTTGGTAAGTCAAAAATGACAAGTTCATGAAATATAATAATATACTTCTAGTTTCCTTGTTTTTATTATGATCATGAAATATTTATTAAGTAACAATGCACTTAAGAACTAGGGAACTCTCTACGATAGCCAAAAGATGCATCTAATTTGCCATGTTCCAATGGGATGGATGGATTATACAATTGCATTCCTTTCCCATTTGCTTCCCTAGTTCTTACTGTATACCCTGAAAGCCAGTAAAAAGCAGTGTTTTGTAAAATGCTGTGATCAAATGATGATATTTTGAACAAGCAGAAATTTAATAGATCCTCTTCTGCAAGCCAGTAAAAAGCAGTGTTTTGTAAATCCTTTGATCATATGATGATATTTTGAACAAGTAGAACTGCTAGTTGTCAACCTCAACACAGAACTTCATTTTGTTGTCTTTGTCCTTTAGGATCGTATGACATTTAGGAGAATTTTGTTAAAGGCAGCAGCCAAGAAGAGAAAAGCACTTGAAGGCCTGCTGGAGAGAGTTCCAATGCTAAAAGAAATAACAGTGAGTTTCTTAATCAATTTTTTTAATAGATGAAGTATTTCTGGCCAGTAGTATAATTTTATATTATATGATGTACATATTAGGTTTTTTGAAGGCACTAGACAATCATGAACTCCAATCACTGATGAAAACATACATGTACTATCATGTAGATGTTATACAAGTTGTACTTAGGCATACATTGTTTTTTTTAAGTTCCCAAATAGAAATATTTTTGGAATTAGTTTACTAGTAGATGATATCGCCTTTTTAAACCTGACAATATCTCTTTTTATGTTGTTTTGTAAAATGTAACGTTTTTCATTCATTCTTGATAATAATTAACTTTTAGGTTGAAGTAGTGCTTACATCGTAACATATCTCTTATTAGACACAGCTTTTTCAAACTACAGATAATTAAGCACCGTCTTATGTTKCAGGAATATGAAAGAATGAATCTAGCAGATGCTCTGCACTCAAAAACCTTTAAAGATGAGGAKTGCATTATAACACAGGTACCGTATATTGGCCCCAGATACAATGTTACAACTTCAATTAGCAAAAGACTGCTAAGCTGTCAATAAACTAAAACTGCTTTGATTCCATTGTCAGTTTTAGTTCAAAGGGCTACTTGGACGAAAATTGCAAAMCATTAGGAAAGACTTGGAATTCAAATAGACTGATCCATATGGGTCTAATAATCATGAAGCAACAGATTTAAAGAAGATATTGATACAAATCCTTAATAATTTGGGCAAAAAATATTGGAGTGAATGACGTCATGTACTCCATCCTTTTGTTCTTCCATCTTTTGAATCAAAATTTCTCTGATGTGGGATAATTCCAAAACAAATATTTTCCCTCAATTGTTTTTTATAATAGATAAAAAATGAGTCATACATATATTATGTCTTGCTTGAAGTTTTGAAATAAGGCCATTTTCATGCAAGTAGCACTTTAAAAATTTGATTGATGGCAGTCTATGGTTAATTGCATGCCATGAATTTTGTCTGTGTTGGTTGCATAACAGTACAAAGTAAACAGCGATATTAGTTTTGCCATTGTTGTAAATTAAGAAATATGTAAAATTATTATTTTTTGTTATTTCAGGGGGATGAAGCAGATTATATGTATTTTGTTGAAGGTGGTGTTGTTTCTATAAGAGTGCACAATCAGGTAAATTATTGCAGATAATAATTAAGAAATATAAAACGGCGCGTGTCTCTTTCCTCTGAAGATATAAACACGGTGGGAGCAAAATACGAGAGGAGCAAGCTTAGAAATATGAGCGTAGCTGGTGTTTCTCTTGCTTCTCAAGTGTTTTTCAACTCCCACCGTGTTTATATCAGAGGACAGAGACACAAGCGGCCGTTTTATATATCTTTTATAAAAATTTTTGAGCGAAATGAAAATTTTGCTGGTAAGTCGTGTCTCTGTCCTCTGATATAAACACGGTCGTCAGCCAATCAGGGCGCACGTTATATATCAAAAATTTTATAATGATTATTGAAATTAAGGATAACTGTTATCCATGAAATACCTAAAAGTATATGTTATACATGGAGGTTCTTGCTGACCTTATGTTCTGACTGATCTACATTGACTGTCTTTGTAATCTAGAGTGACCCTACATCTGAGGTTGAAGTGACTCAAGTAACTGAAGGAGGATATTTTGGTGAACTTGCTCTTATCACACATAAACCAAGAGCAGCTTCTGCTTATGCTGTTGGTGAAGTTGCATGTGCAGGTAAATCCACAAATAAAGCAATCTATCAAGACTAGAGTACAAACACTAAAACTGTGCAACATATTAAATACTGCTAAATTATGCTAATTCTATTGTTTTCTATTTGTTAATTAAAACACTATTTTGTGTAAAGTGTTGCACACGTTTAATGTTTTGTACTCTAACAAAACACTAACAGCTAAGGAAAGTTATTTATTTTAMTTGCACTTTTATTAGTTTGATTTTAAAAATAATATTCATTGTGTCTWCAATGTAGCTAGTGCATAACATTGCTGGTAATATAATTAGGATGTTATTGAATTACACATTTTTTAAGAATTGTTTCACACTTTTGTATAGTGCACTCTAAAATGTATATATCTGTTTTTCCTTTTGTAATCTTTTCAGTTCTTGATGTCCATGCATTTGAGAGACTATTAGGACCTTGTATGGATATCATGAAGAGAAGCATTGACGACTATGAAGAACAGTTGCAGAAGTTTGGCGTTGAACATGACGATCTAAGATGAAAACATGACCACAAAGAAAACAATATTTTGTAGAAAAAAAGACCCCTACAAGCGTTTCCCCAACCAAAGGTTTTAGTGTTAAAGTATTTACTGTTGATCAAAGATTTTTTGCAAGATTAAGCAGAGAAATCTAATAACTTATTTAATAATTTATCGGTGATTTTATAGTTAAAAGAAACTTTTAATTTTTTGGAAAAAATATAAATTATTTTCATGGATATTTGTAGTAMCACTGACTACATGTTCTGTCAATACTTTCAAGCTGTAATAATTTTGTTATTTTATGTAAACATACAGAAATGTTTTACCTAAATTAGGTTATTTTGCATGCATATTTGCATATTTTATCTACTTTATTTTTAGTTGATGCTACATTGTATGTTAAAATACTGTTATTGCACATTTACTGTAAATAAACATTTATTAGAATTTGATGTCATTTTTTGATAAATATCCTAATAATATATAGACTGAGATATCATGATTACTCTTTGCCAACCCAAATTTTCTTATATATATTTCTTATAATATATTTCCGAGGTACGAGCACGCTTTGCAAGGTGTTTGCATTGCAAGTGCATTCATCCCAAATAAGTACGTGCATTGCAAGTTAAGTGCATATAATGGAAGGTTGTAAGCACATACATTGCAAGGCAAGTGCATTCATTGCAGAGTAAGTGCGTTAATTGTAAAGGCCTGTTTACACTTGCAATATTTGCAGTGCAATCGTACCTGTAAACAGACCTGCAATTGTTGCGATGATGGAAAATTGCCAAGAAGTTGCAGCAAATTTTCAAGCATGTTCGAAAGTCAGGCAATAGTTGCGCTGAGAGAAACGCTCTGCAAAAATCACAAGTGTAAACAGGTTGTAAGGTAATCATTGCAAGTCCAATCATTGGAAAGTAGGTACATGCATGGAAAATATAGTGCACACAATTCCAGGATAAGTGCACATTGCAAAGGAAGTGCATTCCAAGGTAACTGCGTGCATTTAAGGTATAAAGTTCATATGTGTTGCAAGGTAAGTGTATGCATTGTAAGGTAGGTCCATGCATTCCAAGGTAACACGTTGCAATTGTAAGTGAATGTGTTGCAAGGTAAGTGTATGCATTGTAAGGTAGGTCCATGCATTCCAAGGTAACTGCTTGCATTTAAGGTATAAAGTGCATACGTTGCAAGGTAGGTGCATACGTTGCATGGGGAAAGGTGCACCATATACCAATTGGTAACACAGTTACAAAAACTTCTTTGATTTGAAAAAAACATTTTATTAAATTTCAGCATTTTTCTCACACTGGTAATTCTAAGGAGACTAGTAGTTCTGAATACTAGACTTCTTTTTAAGACAAATGCAAGCATAATAAATCTCTAATAAGTATGTATTAATGCGATAGTGAGCCAGTCTTTGCTTCCTAYGTAGATTGCTATTAGATATTTTTTTAAACTTGTCTAGTAAAAAATGTAGTGCATTGTGATAGCTCCTTCATTTCTATAATTTGTTCTGTCATCACTATTATAAATTATAGTAATATTGAACCAACGCAGTTCGTAGGAATGGATCTCCAACTGGAGGACAAAACAATCATGGATTCTAGTTCCCAAGAGGGCAAAGATCTTTTTGTTTGTCCTCTTGATGAAGTTGCTTTGATGCCACACGCAAGAGGTGGCTCTAGACTGAATTTTAAATTAGTTGTGAAGTAAAGTGCTGTGTATCTGAGTACAAAATACAAATTAAATAAGAATGCTGGGATGATAACGTTAATAAATTTTACAGTAAGTCAACATCAAAAACCTTACATCAAGGCTATAATTTGCAGCTCAATTCACAGAAAACCATTTTGAGAAGTTTTGAAGTTCATAAATGTATAAGTGATGCTTGCATTTTATCTCAAAACAAATAATAATTTCCCAAAGTATATATATATTTCATCAAGCACGTTTCACCCAACAGATAGGTTTAGAAACTAAGCCGTCATAAAACTGCACAAATATACAGTCAATACATAATACTGGACTAAGAGTGAAGATGTCATTCTCCCTACTGTTGCCCTAGTAACATGCTATTTAAACATGATGGGCTACAAACAGTAGGGAATTAACCTCAGCAGCCTGTCACGGTAAATGTAGCACCAGAACTTTTGGAGATTTCCATTGTGGTAAAGTTCTGTTGAAATAAATTATAATAACAAAACATTATTGCTAATGTATATTACATGTAGCGTTTTAGCGAGATGATGGTAAACACAGGTCCCCTATGGACACCCCTTGCAAGCTTTTGTAGCTCTGATGCAAGTCTAACACCATTTTACAGTAAATCAATGAGTTTTGAATGAAATAAAATCAGCTCAAAATAAGGGAAAAAAACATTTTCTGAAAATTTTAACACAAGTTTCGGAATCAGTGGATATTTCTACCATATAATTAACTTAAGGTTTATCAGAACCTGAGGATCCCTCGGTTGTATGCAAATCAGGACAAATCTCTTGCTCATATAAAGACTGATGATTTTCCATTGTGTTTAGTACCTTTAATTATTAATGATTTTGATTTGTTTCTAGAGCTCATTAATAATTCATGAACTATTAGTCCAATGAGCATCAAACTATTGGATCACATGATGGACCTTTACATCTGATAAAGTACTGATGTTTTATTAATCAGTTCTATTTTATTAATCAGTTCTGGATTACAGCTCCAACCAAATGAATAGAGAATAGAATAGAGAATAGATACCTACCTCTGAGCACGTAGGATGGATGCCCACAGTGTTGCTGAAATCAGCCTTTGTTGCACCACACTTGATTGCCACTGCATAGCCTTGAGTTACCTCACCAGCATTAGGCCCAAGGTAGTGAAAACCAATGACTCTTTCCTGGAAAAGCAAAAGTTAAGGTAAGTTTTAGTAGAAGGCCATGTTTTTTTAAAAAAAGAATTACACATTCATACAAGAAAAAGGACTCCACCCTAAATAGAACAGGGTCCGTGCAGGTCCTTAAATCCTTGAAAAGTGCTTGAATTGAAAACTCGTTTTCAAGGGCACTTGAAACTCCTTGAAAATTTCGAAAAAGTCCTTGAAAACTCCTTGAAAAAGATGGATCTCTATAACGAAGCGCTAGCGATCTCTGAATTATTCTGTTCAGCTGAAGTTTTGAAGTAAGAATGTACAATTAGCATGATTTTGATGCTCCTTGAAAATACACTTTTGGTCCTGGAAAAAGGCCTTGAAAAGTCCTTAAATTTCGTTTTTGATACTCTGCACGGATCCTGTAGAAAATTGTCTTTGTCCTGCACTACATGTACATTAGTTTGCTAGTAAGCCGAGATGATGCAAAAACACACAGGGATACCACTCATAATTTTACCCCATCTTCTTTGTTGCATAAAATCTTTGCATAACAAGCATTAGCTTCTCTGTGGGCTACAGTGTACTCCAAAGGTTGGAACTCTAGATGATACACTTCTATATTATCTTCGCCAAACTTGGCTTTTGCGTCCTCTTCAGAATATCCAATGGCACCATATTCCAGGGGGGTGAATACTGTTGTAGGTACATTGATGTAATCAGTCTGTTAAGATAAGGTAATATTAGGGTTGTACACTACTGCTAGAACAATGATTGTGATTTGATRAAATAACAAAGAGAGACAGGCAAAACAAAAAACGAAGATGTCCAGTAGAACAATATGCATGCACTGTCTGACGTAATCCTAAAATTCGTTGTTTTTGTTGTCTCGATCAATCACATCGACCCTGAGTAAGCGATATATGAAAATGAAAATGAGTCTATGATTATTTTTTCCCATTTTCCCTCMTGTTTTACCAGTAGAGTGTCATTTCTGTATAACCGTCTTGATAAAAGCTTGCCAGCTTCTATAGCAACAGGGGTGAGTTCTAGTTTTCCATCCAAGATATCACCAATAGCATAAATATTAGGGACATTGGTCTTCTCGTTATCATCAGCAGGGACTTTCTTGTT